AATAGAAGCAGATTTGACTAGCGACTCGCGATCGAAGAAATCGACAAGGAACGTCATGGGGAATAAAATCTCAAGTTATGTGATTGTGGACCCTTTCATCACAGAATCCATTGTTACAAAACTCGGTCGTCCCCTCGTCTCAAAATGAGATGGACCCTCATATTTGATCGACCCCTGCTCATTCGCACGGGCTCCTGAGTAGTCGAAGACACTCTTTACCGTAGCCATTGAATCCAAGTACTTGAGGCGCCTAGCCGCCAGAGAACTCAGGTATGTCTACGCGAAACGCAGCCTCCCATCGGTGGCCGCCGAAACAGTCATTGTCTTGATGCGCCTGTCGGAAGCCAAAGGGGTTGACAACGTCTCTTCGCCGTCGTCCTCACTGTGCATCGGTGGTGGCATACGCTGATGGGGCACCCTCTCAGGCCCTCTTCCGCCAGGACCTCCCGTGATAACCTCCCATGTCTTTTGGTAGCCTAGAACCAACCGAACAAACAAATAACACACAAACTCCAAACAAGATAATACAAAAAGCTCCAACAAGTCTAGAATAACACAATCCCAAAAGGAGAATAAAGAAACAAAACAAAACGAAACAAAACGAAAAAAAAAGAAGAAGAAAACTTAATAGCTAAAATAAAGCCCTTCCACCAGCGAACAAACACTCCCAAACGCCCCAAGTGAACCGATACCCAATGCAACCACCCAAAAAGTCCAAGACCCCCACCCAAACACGGATCTAGAAACTTCTCTACCGACCCAAAACCTTCTCAAAAGCTCACCACAGAGTCGGCACTAGAAGACCTGCACCAAAGTCACCCCCTTCCATTCCGCACTAAGGGCGACGGTAACCCACTAACCGAAGTCAAAGTCGCCCTCGTCGACGAACCCTGCTAACCCAAAACTAGGGCCAAACACAGGAGTCGGAAAAAACAGAGCCCCAATTTACAATCCTGACCACCTGCAAGGCAGCAATAGGAACCCGCTGCCATAAGAAACTCGAAAAACCATCAGGCCCTCATATGCCATGGCCAATTACATTAAGTGAAAATCCACACAGAAGGGTAGCGACGCCTCACTAAGATGCTCGCGACCAGCCCAGGTTCTGTCCCAGACGCTGGACACCGCCCAAGAGAATAAGGGCTCCACCGGTAGAAAGGCCAAACAACGACACATGGAATGAAGATAGGGTTTTTGACAATTGGGTATGTCTTTCCCTTATATGAAAATGTTTAAAATGATATGTTTGGAAATACGTATTGAGTAAGAGCAACTCTCGCACCTCTTCATTTAAAAAAAAAAAAAGAAATAGATATGAAACCCTCCTTCCCCTTCTTCCGCCAGCCTGACCCCTTGCGCCCACCAGCCCGGCCTTGACCAAGTCGCGGCTGGGGTCATCTCTCTTGTCTCTTCCAGAGATCTGCGGGAGACCTGGCATGCGGTGGGTTTCACCGCCCTACCTATATCCTCGGTTTCGGACGGGGTCGCCAGCCATCGCGTCTAGCCCCTAGCCTAATGAAAGCGTCGATCTGCTAAAGTTTCGGTCTCACGTGTCTCTGTTCTGATCCTTAGAGATTATGGCCGCTCAACTGTGTCGCTGGTCCGTGGGGTCGCTCGGCTGCAAGCAACCTTGGACGAGCCTCCTTAGGTCCTAGTCTCGTGCTCCCCGGTGTGTTCTTGGAGGCTCCCTTTCCTTTTCCCAACGTTGAAATTACTCGTAGCCTAGATCCAGATTGAGAACGACATCTTTGTCAGATTTGCTTAGGCGGTTCGAGTGGCTGCAGATTGTGGGTTTGACGTCTGGTTTTGTAGCTCTGTTGGGGTTTGTTGTTATGGTGTGTGACTCGGTTGTCGGTTTAAGTGGTTGTGGTTCGCCTGCTAGGACTACGGGAGATGTTATTCTATTCGTTTATTTGGGGTGGGGGGGGGGGTGTTTTGTGTTTCTTTATTTTTCGTTTTGTTAAGTCCAATTGCTTATGACATATTAGTCCAATTGCTTATGACATATTGTTACAAGCGTAGATGGCTTGTAACAATAACTTCAAGTTTGAACCTATAGATTCTGTCTCACATCTACCAAATTAGAGATGTCTTTTAAAAAAATTTCAGGTTTCAACCTAAATTATGTTTCAATTACTTAGATGATTTTTATCAATAATTCCAGGTAATTTCAACCTAGATCATGCGTCCAATACTAATAATTTTATTTTATTTAGGTTTCAACCTAGATCATGCGTCGAGTACTAAGGGGGATTGGATATGAATTCAACTAGTAAAAAACTAGTTTTTTTAACTATAGTTAAGTTTGAAAAAAAAAAGTAGTATAGTTAGTTGTTAGTGGATATATTAAAGTAATATTTAAATTAAAATAATTAAAATTGATTTGATATAAAAGTAGAAGAAAATGATTGGAAGTTATGGTTAGTTAAAATTATGTGAGTGGATGAATAGTAAATTAAAGTTGATGTGATGTGTAATAATAATTAATTAATATTATTTAATTATATTGATAATATTGGAAATAGTGAAGTTGAATTAAAGTTGAGTTAAATTTGAGTTTGAGTTGGATATTTACGGTTGAAAGCATAAACAATCACGCCCTAATAGTTCTATTTTATTTTATATATAAATGTTAAAGTAAAGATCGATAAAAGATGATTAATTTGATATTATCATATACAAAAAAATTGATTACAAATTTAAAAGTTATTAAATTTTGAAAGTATATTTGTAATTTAAGTTTATTCATAAAAGTGGTATAAGTTTAAAAGTTCATAAATAAAAATCTTGAACTACATGTATTAATTAGTATGAGATTTCTTGATGCATGCCAAAAACTTGTCTCTGACCGAAGAAATAAAAAATAAGAACTCATAAAATACAAATTCAAGTGAATGAAGAATCTCAAATTGAATCCGAACAAGTGTTTGTCTTGTATATTTTTCTTTATGTATTAATTTAGAGTTTGTCAGTTTAAGTCTCTCACAAAACTTCGAAATCTAATGTAGCACTATCAATAGAAATTTGAAGTGTCAATAATTTATCAAATAACATACATACATATATAGGCTAGAATTTTCAATATTACAAAATAATTGGTCAATTCAAATTAATCATATTTTGACATTTTTTAAATTTAATATTTAGATATTATATATAAAATAAAAAATAATTATTATTATCTTTATAAATAGAAACTAAATTTACCCATTAAGCTTAATTAAAAAGTAATACAAGATGTTAAAAAGTAATACAAGACCCATACAAACCGTTAGAATTTGGCAAACCCATAGCAACCCATACAAATAGAGATTTTTTTGCTCTCCAAAACACACTTTCTTTTTTCTTTTCTTTAGGTCATGTTTATGCCTTTTAATATAATATTATTGATAAATTTAGATATATGTGTATTAGTAAATGTATTTATTATATTAAATAACTTTGAGTTTTTTGATATTAAAATAATATCAATAAAAATTTACCACAATTTTTTTCAACATATAATACACATCTTCATTTAACAAATTTATTTATATTTGAAAAAAAATGTGATAAATTGTTGGACGAACAAGATTAACACAAGAAATTTATTTTCAATGACTTGCATTATAAATTGAATCTCTTAAATCTTAGTTAATATTTTAGTAAATTGGAGTAAAGTAGCACGAACGGTTGGACACGAAACTTAACTCTATTGTAGAGTAGAGTAAACTCCTTACCAGAGTAGAGATGAGAGCTGGAGATGACATAAGCCATAATGATGTTTCATGTGGAACAAAGCTTATGTAGCCATTAAACATATAAAATATCAGCTTCATGACCATGCAGTAGTTGCATAAACAAAATCAATCAAATGAAGTAGACAGCAAAACACAGAGCTTCAACAATGATCAATCAAATTAATGATTTCATAAATAGGCATAAAGCTCAGATTCCGTAGCTTATATGTTTCGACTAATAAAGCCACCCGATCATCTGAGATACTCCAAAACTGAATGACAATCATCTCGCCAACATTTGAAACGTTGATTTATTCTAATAATAACAGTGAATGTTGAAATAGATGGTAGCTTTATACCAGCTACCAAGCTCTTTGATACAAGCCGTACAGCTACAAAAATCCAGAAATAATTCCACGCTCACAATGCAAGTGACGCAGTCGATAAATGTGTTGATCAAAGAGGGCAGTATGAAGACATTAGGACCAGCCAATATCACTGACTTAAACAGCTAAAGCAAATTTTTAATCATAAAAGTGTAGAGTTCCTTCCTATAAAGTGTATACCCAATTCGTTCACGACCAAATTAGGGGTCCTAATTGTTTGCATCATACGGTCCATTATTATCAGCTTAACAGGTAAGAGATACAAAATTGCAGACATCCCCTAATTATGAACGGGCAATATTACAAGCGACCCTAATAAGATCCCTGTTTTCGAATGGAAAATGTTTCCAAAGCAGCTAATTTTTTAACATGGGCACAGAAGATAATTCTGGAAAAAGCTAAACCTAATAGTCTCAACCATACAATTTCAAATTTTAGAGTTGCTCGCACAACAAAACGATTTGCGAACAGGAAATAACCAAATGTCAACATTAAATTATAGAGAAATATCACTTTCGAGGTTTAACTTCTGTTTTATCAGCTCAAAGACGAGAGAGTCGAAGCCATGTTACAACTATAGGCAGCAATGTAAAGATTCCAAGGTGCTTTTATGCAGCTCAAACATCACTACATCAAAACGAAGATCTAACATGAGAATCGAAAAAGATCCAACATTTAAAACAGGAAATGTGATTAACCCATCAATTTGAAAAGAAGCAAGAACACAAAGAGGTTTAACTGTACAGCAAACAGATCAATCCTAGAAGATCACATTCCTTGTATATCGAATCAACAGAACCAAATCAGATATTTATGCTCATCATTCAACATTCAGATAAAACAGAAAAATATCCAACAGATATGGCCTAAAGGAGATATCCCTAAAACTGTCACCTCAAATCCCCACACGGCACTGTTGTGGCCCGCCGATCAACGCCCCGGCTCTCCCATTGCTCGGAACCCCGACAATCAAATCTCCACAGAAAACCTTCAGAAACCTTCTCTGAGTACTCCACGCCTTGGCCTCAAACCTAACCCTAGAAAGCATCCTCAGATTGAAATCCACATTCCCACTCCCCAATCTGTCGCCGTTGATCTCGTCCGCCACCGTCCTGCTCACGAAGCTCCCCGCCGCCGCGAAATTGGCCGTCAGGGAGGTCTCGTTCTTTGTGTCCTGCCAGAAGGGCGGGACGACAGTCTCTGACAGGGACTCCGACCTGTAGAAGATCACGGCCTCGATGTGTTCGTACGCGAGGGTCATCTTCTTGTTAGGGTTACGCGCGGTCAGGCGGATCTCGGAGGTGAAGGAGATGCGCGAGTCGTTGCCGAGCGTGAAATTGGAGATCGAGAACGCGTCGACCCGGAACTCGGGGAGCTGGGGGCGGAGGACGAGCCAGACAATGAAGGTGACGGCGCCGAAGATGACGACGAGGCCGATCAAGAAGGCGAAGATGCGGCGCAGGCAGGTGGCGCGGCGGGCGGACTCTGGGTCGTACTGGTAGCCCTGGGGGTGGTAGGGGTTGTTCGGGTAGTTGTAGTATGGGTTGGACGGCGGCGGAGGCGCGGCGTAGGGGTACACGGCGGCCCCCGGCGGGGGTCGGGGCGGGTAGCCATTGGGTTGGGCGTTCTGTGGGGCGGGGTAGCCCGTGACGGGTCGGTTCGGGTCATCCGGGTTCGACATCCCGACGGGTGCTCCGGCGTCGGGAAATCGAGAGTGGCAGAGAGGGGTTTCGTGCGGCGACTGGTGAGGCTCTCCCTTGGTAACCAAACGATTTGATGAACTTGTGAAACGGAATATATGTATTTTTTATTTTTTTTTTTCTCTATCTATTTTAGGATTTTATTCTCTCTACTCTTCTTGCGAGTGGATGTTTTATGCCGGTGATACTGACGGAGGCGCGTGCGGCGGAACCTTTTGGAATTACTGTTTTACCCCTGACGAATGGCGAAGGTGGATAATACGCACTGATTTGTACGGATGTAAAGGTGATGCAATATGAAACGTCAATTCGTCATAAGCTTTGCAGATTTGTCATTAAATTGTGGAGAGTTGAACTTTTTTTTGTTTTTTTATTTGAAAATGCTAAAATAATTTTTGACCCCAAGTTGACAAAGTTTTTTGTTTCAATAAAGGTTAATGTAAAATAAACCTCAATTATCTTTCCGGTTTTGACAATTTAAACTTTTGAACTTTTGAATAATTTTAATAATTTGTGACTTTTGTCCTAGTCTGACCAAGCGAACCTGATGTAGATAGGAGATTATTAGCGTGATCTGTCACGACTTCGACATATATTTTTCCTCCCAAAGTCGTCTCAATGGGTGACTCCATGGGTTGACCACCCTCCCTAGC